AAAATGCACCTAATTTTAGGATTATGTGAATTTCATCAATGAAGGATTTAATTTGGATGCCAGTATATTGTCTATGTTACTTTGGAATATATAATGAACACGACATTTACCTCTATTCAAATTATAAAAGGACCTTATTTTTGTTTGTCTATTACTAATTATTACTTATTTAATTTTATATTTAGTTTGACACATGGTTAGATTTTAAGTTGATATATAGTTGTCTTACTTTGTGTAATTTAAGAAGAACAAATTACAAAACTTTCTTATTTGTGCTAATTCATTCTCATAATTAATTTAATTTAAAAATTTTTAGTTTATTTTATTATACACATAAATATATATGTTTCAACATAAATCACTTTAAATCATATTTATGACTTTCATAGTTAATATACATTTTTTTAGAAATTAAAACATAAGAAAAGAAAAAACATCAATTGAACAATAAAAATTTCATAAATATACCAAATGTTCCATTTCACTTTTTGTTCTACAAGTAACACAAATGAAACATAAAATTATTATTATTATTATTATTATTATTATTATTATTATTATTATTATTATTATTATTATTATTATTATTATTATTATTATTTTACTTTTGAATAAAAAATTATAATTCATTAACATATTTGAATATACCGTTAAATGATACTTTAATTATTATATTTTTATCTTGTACTCATTCACAATATCAACTATATCTCACATTTTCTATTGCTTTATTTTTTCATCCCTATTTTCTATCGGGTGAAACAAAGATTTTGACAAAAAAACATTAAATACAACAACACAAACCAATTCTTTCATTTTAGAATTTAGATGACTAACATATTAAGCCCCCACTCATACAAATTTTTAGACCCGCCCTGGTGGTGGTGGTGGTAGTGGTGACAGAAAACATTGCAATCCTAACGGGATGATCCGTCGCATAATTCGCCTCTCGATGCACATGCTGAATGTGAATATGCCATTCCATGTGAACCAAGTCCCTAATACCCGGCTAAGTGTTATAATACCTCAAAAAATTACAAACGAGAGAGTCACTACACTACTCTCCCTCTAAAGCCATCAAGGCTAATTCAGTAGCACAACCACTATCCACACAAGGAAATGGAATAAGACACAAACTTCCAACCAAAAGCTAAGAGTATTAATATCAGACCAAACAGACAAAAGAGAAGAATGACAATAAAGATTAGGCCACCCTTTATCTGATTAATGCACAAAACACTTCCACCTATAATTTCCAGCCTTCCTCTTTTGCTTTCTCCAGAATCCATTGCACTGCCAAAATAAGAACTCAAGTTTTCCTCTTCCATTCTCTGATTACATCTATAATATAATGGCAACTCCTCCTAATCCTACTTTGCCATTTGAAGAGAGTGTTGAAACGATAAATGTACTACTACTAGTTTAAAGTTTGAACAACACAACAATTATTCATACACTAAATAAAAAGCATGAAATACAACAATGCAATCCCAATAAGCACCCAACTGCCAGTTCACCCAAATCCCACAGTAGAATTTAATGCCGCTTACGCCGGCCGTCAATTCAGAGTCACCGTCGAGACGAACCGATTCAGGTCCGCCAGCGACGACCCACCCTCCCCGACGGCCGCCTCGGCCGCCCTCCTCATCTCCTCGACCCGTTCCCTCACGGCCCGGCCCGCATTCGAATCCATCAGCTCCCTGACCCGCTTCTCCAGCTCCGCCGCCGCCACGAACCCGTCTTTCCCGTCCTCCAGCGGCAGCCCCACCCCCATCGCCTCCACCATAAACACTCTGTTTAACCTCTGCTCCGCATCGATCGGCCACCCGATCATCGGCACCCCGCGCGTCACAGCCTCCAGGATGGAACTCCGGCCGCAGTGGGTCACGAATCCGGCCACCGCCTCGTGATCCAGCACTTCTCTCTGTGGAGCCCACGACTTTATAATGAAACCCCTGTCATTGGTCCTCTCCAGAAACCCATCCGGCAGCAGCGCCTCCAGGTCCGGTTCCTCATCCGCCGGGCCGGACGGACTCCTCACCGACCAGAGAAACCGGTGGCCGCTGCCCTCCAGGCCCACCGCCATCTCCCTCAGCTGCTCCGCCGAGAACAGCCCCCTGCGCCCAAAACAGAGGAAGACCACGCTCCTGGATGGCTGCGCGTCGAGCCACCGCAGGCACTCGTGGCGGTCTCCGCCGCCGCTGGCGGCCGCCTCCGCAACGAGTGGCCCGATGAAGTACGCCGGCGGTGTCGAGCCTCCGGGGACGCACGCGCCAGAGTCGAGCGCCTCCTTGGCCCGCGACTCGAGCGCGTCGAACGAGTTCACCAAGATCCCAGCCGACTGCAGTGTGTTGTTGGCCATGGAGAGGAAGTTCTGGTATACGGGGGTCCGCCGGAAAAACATGGCTCTGGGATAATCCGTTGAGTAGATCGGAGGGCAGCCGGGGACTTCAACGAAGTCGTTGAGGCTGCCGAGGTCCTGCTCGCGGAGCTTCTCGTCGAGCGTCGGAAAATGGAAGAGAACGCAAAGGGTAAACGCGCCGGTGCTGATGTAGAAGTAGGTGGGGATGCCGAGGCCGGTGGAGACATCGAACGACGGGTTGCAGAAAAAGTCGATTACAAAGGCCCTGATCCTCGATTTCTCAGAGATCTGGAGAAGGGTTTGCAGGAGAATGGGGTTGTTGAGGCGGGAGATCTCGAATAAGAGCTCGACGGGGTCGTTGGTGAGGTTGGGAGGAGTAGCGGCAGGGGGGAGTTGGCGGTAGGTGACGGAGGGGAGGGAGGAGACGGAGGAGGCGGCGGATTCGGGGGCGGAGCAGAGGATGGTGACGGGGAGGGCGGGGTGGTGTTTACTGAAGAACTTGGAGAGGATGAGCATGGAGTTGAGGTGCCCCGGCGAGGAGTACAGGACGACGGTGTCCTCCATTTTTCCGTTTGTGTTTGTTTGTCGGTTAGTAAGGAAAAGCGTGGAGAATATTGTGTTGTGCGACTCTGTGATAGGGTACGAGTATATATATAGATAAGGAAAATACTAGAGTCCCCTTATGCTATTCAAAGGAATCATAACCAATCACTAATTGACACATCAATTTTTTATATTACGCTTGATGCATGCGATTAATGCCACTGAAGGAATAAAAACCGGCCATAGCAAGTTTTACCGGTGGATCTCATTATCTTTATTATTAAAAACTGTCTCAAATATTTATAGCTATTTTAATAATTAATCAACAATGTTATTTATTCTGTTAAACATACCAATGCAAAATTATAATATCCCATATATAATTTCTGAATATGCTGAGCCTAAGTGTCAGACTCGCATGCATCGGGATCCTAGGTGTCAAATTTCCATGTTTCCTTATTTGGCTTGAATAAATTTTAATTTAATTCTCATCCAAAAACAATTAGGTTCGGATTCTCATAAATATGTTGATTTATTTATGATCATTTTAGATGTATTAATTGTATTCTAATATATTTTCATATTATAACCATTGAATTGTAAATGTATTTTAAAAGTTGATAACTCTTGTAATTTTTATTGGTTTTACATATATAATATATCAAATTAATCATCTTTCGATGAGCTTCGATTTGACATTCATATTGTATAAAAAATAAATAAATTATATTTATTTTTATAATAATAATAATTTATTAAAATTAACTAGAAAAAGAAAATTATTTCTCAATTAATATATTTATGTTTAATGTAGTTATATGTTAAAAGTTTGAAAAATTATTTTAATATAACGTAAGTAAGTCGCACAAATAACAAATGTGATACTAAAATATATATCTGATTTATATAAAGCATAGTTTTTAAACCCGGCCCGGTAATCGACCCGGGCAGGTCTTCGGGTCACCGGGTCAATTGTTGAACTGGATAATTAATTTTAAAATTTATAAAATTATATATGGAGTATTTTGTGATATATAAATATACATAAAAATAACAAAATTAAATGTTTTGTATGTAAAATTTGTAAATTAAAGTGGTATTAATATGTATATATTTACCATATAAATATATATACAAAGTTTAATTTTTAAAAATAAAAAGAAAATTAAAAACAAAAAAATAAAAAAATTTAATATAGGAACCGGGTCAACCGTGCCTCGGGTCGACCGGGTTACGGTCGGGTCGGCCAGGTTTTGACCGGGTTCGACCGTGTTCGTTGTTGCTTGGTCCAAATAGACCACCCGGATCGGTTCTGGCTCCAGGTCGACCCGTCGGGCCGGTCCGGGTCACAAAACGCTGGTATAAAGAAAATATTTTAGCAAGCACCCGTGTATTACACAGGTGTTGTACTAGTATATACTTATACTAGTACAACGCCCGTGTATTACACGTGTGCTTGCTAATTTTTTTTTCTTAAAATCTAAAATTACTGAAAACAAGTAATTGAAAATTTAAATATATTTTAAAAATATTTATATTATTATATTTAGTATGACACTTTTTATTTGTGCGACTTACTTGTATTATATTATAATAATTTTTTAACTTACAACATATAACTACATTAAACATAAATATATATAAATAATTTTATTTTTCTAATAAATTTTAATAAATATTATTATTTTTAATTATTATAAAGATAAATGTAATTTATTTATTTCATATATACAAAATATGGATGTCAAATCGAAGATCATCAAAAGATGATTAATTTAATATATTATATATATAAAACCGATAAGAAATACAAAAGTTATCAATATTTAAAATACATTTACAATTCAATAGATAATTGTAGGAAACAAATCAAAAGTCAGAGATATATTAGTCACTTAGTGACTCACTATCTAAAATTATAAAGAATTAAAGTGTTATATTAGTACAATTGATATTAAAATATCTAAGTTAGCAAAATAATATTTAAAGAATGCCCGAACCTAGATTATTAATTATTAATATATAATATTATTTGTCCAAACCTAACTACGAAGCATGATTCTTCGCCAAGTAGGATTCCGAAGCACTAGAAGCAGCCACGTAGGCTAAGCGCATTCTGTAAATAATATATTAGGGAGGATTATAAACATGGACGGACCTACAAGAGGTCCAAGGGGGTGTGGGCCCGCTCAATTTTTTTTTAAAAAATCATTATATATATGCAGATAAAAAATACTATAAAATGAATAAAAATGTAAAAAATACGTAGAATATATAAAATAATTAAATTTTTTTCTCAATGTTATTTGAATTTGAAGTATTAATATTATTTATTTATTGAAAAGTATACTAACAATAATTATATTTAAATTTCTGGATAAATATTTTAAAATATTTCTAATAATTTATTCTTTCGGCCTTTTAATTGTAAATCAAATTAATAATTTATAAAACCTAGAATTTAATTGGATTGTTAGATTTTTTGAAGTTGATCGATTGTATATTTGAATGTTGATTTTTTACGTTATTTTTTTTATGTAATCGCATATTTTCAATTTTATTTATTTTTTAACTAAAAATAATCATTTGATAAGCTCTAATCAATAAGAATGCTATGCAATGTGTTCAAATTACATCAAATTTTGAACAAAAATAAAAACTTATTTTCATAAATTATAAATATTAAACTTAAATTACAAATACACGAAATCCCATTTTTTTTTTTCATAGCAAAAGTTGAGGATGATACGGATTATAAGTTCTTAAAAACTTGAAGGTACACATATT